ATAATATGAGTTCTCTAGCACAGCTTAATTCAATGATCCAATTACTTATCTAAGATTGGTTTGATCTTAGCTCTAATAAACTAGTGTTCACTGAATTATTAGGTATTCAAATTCATGCAGATTCGTATTCACTAACTACACAGAACAAGAATTTAAAGCAATCAAATATTAAATCAAACATGCTAGGTAAAAATCAATCAACACAAGTCTTAACCAACAAGTAGATCAAAGCTAAAGTATTAAAACCATGAGTTCCAGCTTCATCTAGCTAACAGAAGCAGCTAGATTTAGTTGGGCATACTAGCAAACAAACACAAATAACTCATACTCAAAATCATAATTAAAGTATACCAAATTACTAAGCTAATATGAACTCTTCTCTTCTCCTTTGGTGTTGAAAGCTATTACCAGACCTCTTTTCCTTCTCAAAATCGTCTCCAGGAACTCTCTCAATCAGCCAAAAATCTCCCAAGTCATAATGATCAAGGGTTTATATAGTTCTCTCGAAATTTGCGCTTCACGTCGTGAATAATGAATTCATGTCGTGAATTGACAAAAGTCCTTATCGGGAAAGGATTATTACTTCGCGTATACTTATCCTCCAGAATCTTCAAGTCACGTCGTGAACTTGTGGTTCACATCGTGAGTGTAGCTGATTTCGTGGGTTTCTTCTTTTTTTATTCACCAAGTCTCCAAAGTTCCATGTTTTGTCAATTTTAGTCCTTTTCTCCAAGAATGCCTCTATTTAGCTGCAAAGTATAATTTAAGCTTATAAGTATCATTATTCAATGCAAATAACCAAATTATTAATAAAAATGTAAATAAATATTGCCTAAAAACATGTATAAATATGGCAATATCAGTAGCCACCACCTCACGGTGGTGGCGGTGGTTTCTTTTGGTTCCCGGTCAAGCAGGCCACGGTAGGAATGGCGACAACAACATATTTCGGTGGTTTTTCCGGCTTTGGCATCGATGGCGGGGGCTGGAGTCACAAACGGCGGCCACCACGACGTCACTCCTCCTTCGATCTTACATGATGCAGTTTCGCTCCCTTCCCTACCGGTCTTCAACTTCGCTCGATGGTGCTATGTGGTCGGAGGACGACTGGGCCAATGGTGGCGGTTCCTCCGACTCCAACAGTCGTGGCGGTCGCTTGTGGTGAGGGCGACATAAGGGTGGTGCGGCGCCGGCAATAGAAGAAGGGAAAGGTGGCGGCTGGATGTCACTCCTAGGGTTAGGGTTTCAGGAGGGATATATACCCGACGCCTTCCCAAACTTTTCGCCATAATGTCACCTTTGGTCCCTCCTTTCCCTTTTTCTTTCGAACTGAGTCCATATTTTACCTTTTTAACCCTGCCTCCTGAAATCCTTTACAATTTAAGTCTAATACTTACCAAATATCCCTCTGTCTTCTAAAATCTTTACAAATTAAATCTCGAATTTATGCTTTAACCCCCGAATAATCCAACTTATGACATTTGGCTTCCCAAAACCAACACCCCACTAAATAATATGGATTTTAGGGCTACTATTCACATAAATTTTTATCCATTTATTTATTTAATAAACGGGTGTTACAAATCTTCCTCGATATAGTTTTACTATAAAGAGTAAGTGAGTTTTCAAGGGAGAAAACATACATGAATGAAAATCTTCTCAGATTCAAGCTGACATCTCAAAGTAAGAATATTATTTCTTATAAGATAATTACACATTGTGATTTGATTATAAAGTAGGATAACTCTTGTGTTTTTCTGCAAAGCTAGTGGGAGCGCAATAACAGTCCTAGCCTTGTATGTAGTTGACATACTAACTCTTGGAATAAATATCTATATAGATAGATCATGGCAACTTAAAGGATTAAGTAAAATTGCATTAATTGTCAAGGATCTTAAAGAACTTAAGATAAAGGACTCTGAGAGAGTTATCTTGTCAACTACTACATGACATGATTTTGAGCACTCCTCAAAATCCTAGTACAATGTTTTGAACTAGATAATATAATTGTATTCCATATGTTGCTGCAATTGGATTAATCATATATGTTATGATTATGCATAAAGGCCAAATAAGTCGTATGTTTAAAGCATGTCAAATGATACCAATATAATTCGAGAACAAGTCATTGTGTGACTTACAGGAACATTCTAAAGTACTTGCGAGAACTAGAGAAATATTCTTAATCTACGGAGTATTTGAAAGAAAGCTATGTTTAAAGTTATTATACATGTGCTAAATTTTCAAATAGATTGACATGACTCTTAATCACAATCGGGCGTGTCCTCATGATTAATGAAGATAAAATTACATGGATTGTGGTTCCATGTACATTTTAATTACAGTTACACATCAGAGTTAAAGTACATTGTGGTTTGGAAAACCACATGTATGGTTCATTATGACGATGAGTAATCGAGTATTGGTATCTAAGTCATATTTAAGCATCTAATACATTCTCAATAGTTTTCTTTATATATGAGTTATATATATATATATATATATATATATATATATATATATATATATAACTGAAAATGTTTGTATTCGCAAAGTTTATACAAATCAAGTTTGACAAAACTCCTTCATTAGCTAAAGCATGCTATAAGGCCTTGTTGATATAAGTAGATGTATTGATTGAAATTTAGTATTTGGATATTGGAATAGTACAAACAACATATATTGTAATGAATTGATATATTGGATATGAATAATTGTTGTGTTCTACATTAGCATGTTTAAATCCTTGAATAAATAGGTTATTCTAAATGTCCATAGTCATTCATAGTTGTGGGAGCATCTATGAGGTAAGACTAATATGAGTGGATTGGTGGATTCTCATGGAGATGAGAATAGCAAGAGTTGCTACCAACTTCATAGGTACTTGATTAGGAGAATAAGTATTGGACTTGACCCGCATCAAAATCATTTTATGGATCGTAGTCAAGAGTGATGTTTTGATCAAGGTTGTATCTTTGTATTCTTAGACCTGAAATACATATTTGGGACTTGAAGTGTAGGGATTGTTGTGCTTTGACATGGTTTAACGTTGTTCCGTTTAAGGCAGTCATAAGGGTCATCATTAAGTATGACATGAACTACATTGATAGGCGTATGTAGTCGAGAGGGGGTTTGTCCCTCTTATTCGTTGAGAGTTAGACATCTAAGGCCTTACTAAAAGTTGAAAACTAAATGAGATTGATGGCTATCCATATCTCACATTCGACATGATGTCTGAGACAAAGGAATAATTGATATCACACCTTTAGTAACAATTGTAGCTTAGAGAGTCTGCAATTGGTTGTTGATAAGATGGCACGTTTCATATGCTATTAAGGGCAATAGCCTGTTGCTAGACCTCAACTACTGTCTATATCAGTCTATAATGAATCTTGTGCAAGTGGGAGATTGTTGGATCTATATGCCCAATAATCATTATGGAGTGATATTGCTAACAATATATGATCCTATAGGGTCACACATTTATCAAGTTGGCACATTTTGTATATTGATTATTAATATGATTATTAATAAATAATATCAATTCTTGTATTTAATTAGGGAATAATTATTGTTTTGTGAAAATATTAATTATAAGAGAGTATAACTAGTTATTATTTCATATAGTATGAATTAATAAGTCATGCACAATATTTTGGACTAGTTGGATTTTTTTGTCTTTTACCTAAAGACAAAGTTTATATTTTATAAACTTAGAGATCATAAAAATTAAAGAATCCTCCTCTTTTCAAGAGGTATGGCCAAAAATATTAAAATATGGGGGTTGTTTGTCAACCTTCATGCTTTGTCTCACATGCTCCTAAATGCTAGCCATTACTTTAGAGTATTGGCTATGGTTAGGCCTTACCTTGTAGGAGTATATAAGAGATGTATGATGCTTGCATTTTTGTTAAGTGAAACACTCTCTTCTTCCTCTTATTCTTCACCAAAACCGTAAGTAGCATGGAGCTACTTCTCTTGCTTTCTTTTGAAGATCATTCAAGTCTTTAGTGGCTTAAAGTGCTTCTCTTATAGTGCTTATTTGAGTTAAGTACTTAAAGGCTTAAGAAGTACTTTATACAAGAAGAAACTAGCATTCCAAATGTCTTAATCTTGATGGTGGATACTTGTAGAGAAAATCATATTATTTGATCTTTCCATCTTCATCAACACTCTTTGGTTATGCTTTTATTTCATTCTAACCTCTATAAATAGATTTATGATGGTTTGGTTTTGTTATGAACTAAAAATAAACTTGTTATTTTTAAAGTCTTCCGTTGCCGGTTTTATGAAAAACAAACTTATATTTTGTATCAAAACTCGACATTTTTTTGCATTCATTGCTCATTGATTTGATGTGCCTGAATCAATGGCTATAACTATTAAATAAAAAATAATAATAATAATAATAATAATAATAATAATAATAATAATAAAAACTATATGAACATATGCTTTGTTCTTGTCTTTTTAGATTTTTTTGAAATTAAAATTATGTTGAATTGTTTCCCATTTGATATGGTTTGATGGTAGTATGATCGAAACAAGCACCAACATTTTCTATTTTTTATGAGAGTTGTTTGATGGTCAAATGGACAATTATCAAATGGTAGCTACTATTCCTAACAAAACATCATCTACAATTTTTTTTTTCTTCTTTGTCACTATAAAATAGACATAATTTGTCCATATGTGAGAAAAAAAAAATACAGTCCATGTTGAAAAAAAATCCATAGTAACCAATCTAGTTTTCTACTTTTCATCTTTTCCACATTTTAAAATTTTTTTGAATTTGCTCCAAACTTTAGTTATAAAAATAAAAAAAAAATCTATGTAAGACGCTAATATTCTTTACTTAAACAAAACAAAACTTAGTTTGTTTTCAACTGAATAATAAAAGAATAGGCACATGCAGTAGCTAATAACTAGTCAACACATATGCCAATAACACTTCCATAACTATGAAAATCATCATTTAAAATAAATAATAAAACAAAAATTGTCACAAGGTTACACGATACAAAGAAACATTAACCATATCAAAATCTAACGCATATTAAACATTTGCACAGGCAATTTCCGTTTTCGCCCATCAAACCCAACAGCAGTCACCTCCATTGAAATATCAATGCTGCGATGTTCAAGACCACGTACAATACTGATGCGTGAATTTATATCAACTGCTGGGTTGGCATCTGTGCCAGCTGGCAAACAACTATGGTGGGCCATATCCACCAGTGATGATAGTGAAATTGGTTTGCAAAAAGTGAGCAAAGTTTGAGACCAATGAGTTGAGGGGGTGTATGGTGACGTTGACAAAACTGTAGGGGCTTCTTTGCAAAATCGGTTTGTGAAAGAAGTATCGAACCAAAGTACAATTCCATAACATTTGCTTACGGTGGATTGTCCCTTTTGTTGTAATTGGACCGAGGCTGTGAAATCGACTTCATCGTGTTTCATTGTCACTAAATCAAACGTCTGACCAAAACAAATAAAAAGTTAGAACCAACAGAATGAGGGTATTTTGGTCTTTTAACAAAGTAAAGGTGAAACCAACCTTAAGAAGAGCAGTATTTGTGACCAAATTATTTCCATCCACAACATCAACAATGGGAATATGAGCAGCATCTTCCACCAGTTCTTTACCAATTGATGACATGTCAAATCCATAAACATGTTCCCAAAATGGCATACTTGTAGCCCCTTTTCCAAATCCAGCAACAAACTAAAATATAAATAAACAAATACTTAATACTTAATATGCCTTTCATTTAAGATTAAAAATTAGAATGCTATAATTGGATTTTTAGATACAAACCATGGTAGCAGTATCAGGGAGCATAGCACCTCCAGGCTTAAGCCAATGATCTCTTGCAATAAGAACTGAGTTCAACATTGACTCATAGAGTAAGCAATAACCCATCCACTCACTCACTAAAACATCAACACTTTTGGGCTCAATTTGTTTTGATTCAATAAGATCTTCAACCATTCCATTCACAACTTTAACTACTCCATTTCTGTTTGGAGACTCATTCCACAAAAGACCATTGTCTTTTGCAATCTGCATGTTTCCAGTAATAAAACTTCCTTAACATGAGGATGAGAAGGAGAAGGGTATTTATGTCTTTTGAATGGATTACCTGAGAGGCTACGGAAGCCATCTTATCACTTGCTTCAACTGCATTTACTATTGAGGCCCCTGCTTGGGCTGCAAACAGACTATAAAGATAGCGATTAGAAATAAAATAAGATAACTTTTTGACAAATTTGCCCTCGTATATCCATACACTAAACAAAAGGAATATTACCTTAATATCCCTGTACCACAACCAACATCCAAGATAACCGCACCCTTTATAAGAGAAGGGTTGTCTACAATAGCTTGTCTGTAAGCATCCGTCCTTACCTATATAACATAACATATTAGCTATTTTTAGTGATGAGGATGAGGAGGGCAATTACGTCTTTTGCACAGACAAAGACAAAAATTACAATTTAGTCCCATTGACATAGTATAAGATAAGTCATAGAAGTAATGATACCTTATCACTTATCATCTCTCTATGGATACCAAATGAACCATATGAGCCAAAATAGTTTTTATTCACGATTACTATTTCATGGTCAATGGCATTGTTTGACTTTTTATCATTAGATTTTACTTCTGATGAACTCGCCCCATTTTCTTCAATGCTTATCTTTAAATTTTCCAGCATGTCCTCTTTAGATGATATCATAGAATCATCATCAACTTCTTCATCTTTATCAAAATCATATAACAAATGATCTTCTTCCATATATGGTTTCAGGTACATGTCATTGTCCCATGGAAGATTACTGCTTCCTAAAGAAGGTTCATGTAAATGATCTTGTAGTTCTGATCTAGACTGACATGTAGTTCCACAACTCCAACATCGATTTTGTCCCACCTAGTAAAAATAATAATCAGAACAAACAGTTAAATGCAAAAAATTTCACAATATATTACTTTCTGATAAAGCATTTGTTTTGAGCGTTCTCGAACAGTTCTTACCTGTGATCTTATATAGTTGAGGAGCTTGAAACAACCATAGAAATCCAGGTTCATTGTAGTTCTGATGCTTCCAAAATCAAAACTGTGGCTTGAAAAGCAATGTTCAAAGAGTGAATCACTTGAAATGTATTTATAATCACAAAATAAACAGAGCAGTTCAACGTCATCATCTTCATCGTATTCTTCATCAGCATTCCAATCTTCCCAAATCTGTTTTTTATCATCCACATCCATGTCTTTTATACCGGGCAACTGTTCTTCATTGTCTCTCATGGGTGAGTCGACAGTGTTGTAGAGCGGAGCCACCATTATCTTAAATCTTAAAACCAAATGAAATTAAGATTTAAAATGTTAGAACTTTGCCATCAAATAGCTTAAACTGAGGAACTGGAAGAACGCTGATTACCGTAGAGAAGTTCAAGGTAAATTTACATATAATTCTTTTTATCATTAGGACTGATCAAACAAACAACCACAAATTGAATTCAACTAGATGTCAAAGAGTCTAAAAAGAACAAACTTGAAGACAAATCGACTAAATTAAAACCACTTGGACACATGTTAACTTATGAAATCAGAAAGAAAAGAAAGGGAGAAATCGTTACCAGTAATGTCAATATGAAGCAAGAGGGATAACGGCAGATGGAGTAGAATGGGTGCCGGAGAAGGGATCCAGACGACTAGGGTTTTTGGTATCCTCGCCTAGATACTACAGATGTGGATACAATCATACAATCCCTTAAACCCTAGCAACCTGCAAAATATTTAAGAAATTCCCGTTTAGACCCTCATAAAGCCGTAAACATATTCGGGAGTGCAATACTTGTTTTATTTTAACACAAAAACTTCAAATTTTTGGATTAATGCCACAAAAACTATTATATACTATGTTTTAGTCTCAATTTTTTTCTTTATTTCTCATATGTCATTATATTTTCAATAAAAAATATAGTTTTGGATCGTTAGTCGGTCACCAACAAGTTATAATGACGTGTTGGTTTGGTTGATATGGCTTTTTTTTATCGGTTTGTATTTGACCCTAATATTTATGTTTGAGTTTGCATTTGGCCCAACATTTTGTTTGTTCCCCATTTGCCATTACTTTTTTGAATGAATTTTTTTTTCATTTTAGCCTTTGCACAGTCACCAACAGATAATTTAAAATGTAAAAGCTTAAAATGAAAAGGGAAGAGGCACTAAAGGCAAGAGTCAAACTTGTGACTTCTCTTTGAGGGGTGGGGCGTATTAGCGGATGAGCCAATTGCTCTATTTGTTATCGCATACAAATCTATTAAGTTTGTGTCAAACCATCATAATTTGAATCAACAGATTAAATATTGTTATAGCAAGTATATTTATCAAAGTACAATGCCTTGATAGATATTAATTTGAAAGTACATGTTGTAATAAGAAAATATGAAAATGCAATGCTATAATAAGGAAAAAAAAGAATGTTTAAGGTTATTTCTTGCATTTAACCCTCAAATACCCTACATAATGGCATCTCATTTCTTTGGTTTTCAAAAAATATGTCATTAGAAATAGCCAATTTTTTCTTAGATAAGTTAAGATTGAATTAACAAATTTGACTGGTTCAAAGATTAGCATGTCATATTGTTTATTAGATCTCTCAGATTCAATACTTATACTAGGTCTTTTCCCTTTATACTAAAATGCATATATACACATTAAATACAATAAGCACTGATAATACCCCCAAAAAAAGTCATTAGTTTACTAGCTAACACGCCCCTCCCCTCAAGAAGAAGTCATAGTTTCGACTCTTGCTTTCATATTTTCCTTTTCCATTTTAAGTTATTACGTTTTAAAATATTTGTTGGTGATTGGCCAATGGATAAAATGAAATTTTTTCTAAAAACTAATGGCAAATGGAGAACAAAAAATATGTGGCTAAATACAAACTCATACATAAATGTTGGGGCTAAATGCAAACTGATAAAAGTATTTCATGTAAGTCAAACTTACACGTCATCATTACATATTAGTGACTGACCAAGGGCCCAAAAATGAAAATTTTCCAAAATACAATGAAAATAAGGAACAAAAGAAAATTGAGCCTAAAATGGAATAAGGTTGTATATATAATGGCTTTTATGGCATTAACCCTAGATTTTTTTTGGTGTTTTGGTTCGCAAAATATTTTTACAAAAAATAAAATACATTAAAGAAATTAGAATATAAAGGAATTGAAATTTGAAAAAATTGAGATTTATTATGTGTTTCGTTGACATGTATAACTTTTTATTACTTTTAATAAAAAATGATAAAATCTATATTAATTAAACTTGTACCTACTCAAACATATATGATCTTGTTGGTGTGGGCTTAGGCGAGTGGGTGTGGGGTGGGTGTGGGTGTGGGTGTGTGGTGTAGGAGTAGGGTGGGTGATGTCGACATCAACATCTTCATGTGCTTGGTGGCATGGCATATACGTGTGTAGTGTGGATGTAGATGTTGTGTAAGGTGTTAGGGTGGGATAAGGATAGGGTGGGGTGAGTATAGGAGTATGATAGAGTAAGGGGTGGGGTATGGGTGTGGTTGTAGGTGTAGGTGAATGTGTAGACGTATGCATAGGCATGTGAGTGTAGGGTAAGATGGACGAATGGATAGGTATATATATGGGTGTAATGGAGGTGGGGGTGTGTATTGTTAGATTAAGGTGTCTAAGTCAATAACTAAATTGATATATTCTTGACAAAGAAGCAAAGTCTGTGTGGGTTGCCCTTATAACATATAACTGAATAGAATGACTTTTGGGGAAAGAGGATCATTTGTTAATTTATTATATGATTAATATATTAATTAGAAATAGTTATAATTAATTAGGAATTAATCAAAAATTAATTGGAATTAGTTTTGGGTTAATTAGAATTAATTGGAAGTGCATGGACTAAGTTGTAATTGTTCAATAGTTAAGCAAAGTTGGCTTTCTAGAACCCTCTTAGCATGGCCGGTTTTGGCTATGTGTTTTAGGGTTTCAAGATTAATCATATTGGATAATTACCTAATTCAAGATATTATTATTATATTTAAATTGGGTAGAAGCCATTAGAGACATTCAAGCTTTTGGTGCTTGCTTTCCAAGGAATTCAAAGGGAGATTTTATTGATTAATTGATATATTAATCAAAATGTATGTAACTCTAATCCTTCTTGTAATTTCGATTAAAGTAGGGTTTCCTAGGGTTTATTGATATTCATAATTTATAGCTATCAATAGAGAAAACATAGATCATTTTCTAGGTTGCATGTGAACTTAAGGGTTTAAGTGTTTTTCCGCCACATGAATTTTTTTATAACCTAGAAAACCCATCAGATATGGGGTAGGAATGTAGGATGGGGTGGTCGTAAGCATGTGGGGGTGGGGTGGGGAGGGCTTTGATGTCGCCGTCCAGCTTGATTGGCGTGGGAGTGTGCTTGTACCTATAGGTGGGTGTGGGGTGGGGTGAGTATTGGTGTGGGTGTAAGGGCATGGGGGTATGTGTATGTGTGGGTAGGTAGGTATGGGGTGGTGTTGGGTGTGTGGGTTGTAGGGATGAGTCGGGTGGATGGGGTAAACGTGGGCTTGTGTATGTGTGGGTGAGGTGGATGTATGGGTGGGGTGGATAGGTAGGTAGGTAGGTGTGTGGATGGATAGGGTGTGGGAGAAATGATGATAATATGTTTTTGATTTTATGAATCGTGTAGGAAATAAAGAGGAGATGGGAACGCATTTGTGTGTTTACAATAAAACATAAGGAATGGAGTCTAAAATTTTTACCTTTAGCCAAAGAATGACCAATTCCTTCGAGTACGGAATTTATTGGAATCTAAAAAATTCTAATTGCTTTGATTTTGTCAACCAAACGCAAATTTTGTCGGATCTTATATTCCATTCCTCCAAATTCTTTCGAAATCGGTGAGCAAAACACGCCCTCAAGGTATGTAAGACCATGTATTGAAACTATTTATTAACTTGCTAACTTTTAAGATTGAGATGTACACCCTTATCATCGGGTGCGGTGGGTATGGGACCACCACGTCTTCATTTTTTCCTCTTACACAGTGAGAATTCACCACATCTCACCCCACTTTTTATTTTTCTTTGGTGCAACCTTCACTTATATTGCACAAGAGATTTTAACATTAAAAGTGATAAGTAGTGAGAGGTGATCATTTCCTACATGAAATAAGAATGAGGGGAAAATCATGGAAATTGATGTAGCATTGAGGTGATAAAAAAGAGAAAAGCATGGTGAAACCACAGTAAGTTAAAAGAAATATTTAGCAATCGAAATGACTCTTTAAAACTGTTTTACCTAGCTACTATTAATGAGTTTTCAAGAAATAATTCTATAACTTCTTGAGAATGACTTATACCTTCTTGTATAAAATAACAAAAACACAACTCATTTATTTTAAGCTACAATGCTACTCCATGTTCTACTCCCGGTTCTCACTCCGTCTTCTACACTTGGTTCTCTCATTTGCTTCCAAATATTTGTCATCCCAAGTTAAATTAGTTCATGGGTCCTGTTTTCTCTTTAATATCACATCTTTTAGTTTTTGATTGTTGATCGTTAATTTTTTATTTTGATTTTTACATAGTGTTCAGTTCAGGATTTTTTTTTCTTTACATATCTTTTCTTTCAAGGGTTGGTTTTTACACAAGTAAGGTTTTCTCTTCAATTTCTCTTTTCCTGAATTTTTGAATTTTGTTTGAGGTTTGAAAAAATTAATCCATTAAAAATAAATTGTTTTTCATGCTATGAGATCGATACAAGAATTTAAAACTATGGTGTTTTATCATCAATGTGGTGCCTAAAAGTAATATATAAACATGCTTTTTTTTTTATCAAACACGGCCTTATAGTTATAGGTAATCACAACCGAATGGACAACAAAGACTCAAAGAGCTCAACGCCATGATTAGCCTCTAAAAAGTAAAAACAAACTTATAAATATGGAGAAAATGATAAGCAACAAACGAGTCTTTCCTTTCAAACCAAGTTATGGAAGTGTTCTTACAAACTAGAAACCAAAAACAAATTTATGTCAAAATGATACAAAATTGTGTCATAAATAAAATTGAGAATCACCTTCCGTGCATCACTAAATTTCTATGTAGATACAATCTCGAAATTCTGGTAAATGGTAGAACCCTTAAAAACTTTTTGTGGCAATCACATTTCCCAACACCTTCGTGTTTCAAATTGTCCAAACTGCCCTTCTCAACTTTCTGAGGGCTTTCAGGAGAATGAGTGGCATTCCTTGTAAATAATGCAATGAAGAACCCCTCTTTATCCTCCACAGGATCAGTTCGAAGTAGATGTTGTGCTGAAAATTACAGAGATGTGTTATATCATTATATGCAAGTCTTAACTTTTTACAAATTTGTCCTCATTTATATTAAAAAATAAAAAAAATAAAAGAACATGGCCTTACATCCTTCAACAACTGGCAGACCTCTGCGGGCCCACTGTGGAAATGGAGTTGCCAGGTGGAAACCCAAAGATGCAGCAAAAGGCAACACTGATTTTATCACATCTTCATTCTCAATTTGGTGAACAGAACATGTGCTGTAGACTACTCTCTCAACTCCTGGAACTAAACAAATAAAAAAATATATTACAAAACCAAAAGGGTATTTTGGTCTTTTCAATACAACAAAAAGGCAGAATTCTTGAATTCCAACTTACAAGACAATGCATGAATTATTGCCTTCTCCTGGAAAGCAGCAAGTTTGAGAAGCCGGCCCACATCACCATCATCACCTTCCCCAACATAAAAAACATATAAATTTAATCA